TCATCGTAGTCGTCGTCGACGAGCCCATTTTTCTTGCGGTAAGCCGTCTCGAGCTCCTCGGCTTTCTGATAAATTAATCGATCGCCGTCCAAAGCCGAGCCAGATGTGATCCGACGAATGAACGAACGTCCTTCTAATGTAATCACACCATCTTTCCATTTCACAAGCGTGCGTGTTTGTGGATAATATACACCCTTTGCAGGCCGTAGGAGATTAAGTGGATTGAGGCCCTCCTCATCATCATCTTCAATCTTCCAACCAACTCCCAGGATATCCTCCACGTCTTTGCGTCTGTATTTCCAGAATTCCTCAGGAATGCCATTTTTAACTCCAGTTTCTTTGGCGTTGCCGCGCGTTTTTGTGGACAGGACTTGTTCGACCATATGACGACTGTAGCTCTCATGAGATCCCGCCCTGATACGGTAAATCGGTGTCGCCCTGTCACCATATCGCACGAATATCTGAGAACCGGTGCCTTTAGGCCACCAGTATAAGACTTTTGCAGATGTCAGTCGACGTTGCTGCTTCATCGCTCTCGCTTCCAAGGCGTCAAGGCCTGTGCCGTCATTGTCATCGGAAGTCAGATCGATGTCTTCACTCTGCCTTTCGCTCGTTGCAGGCTGACCAGTCAAGGTGGATTGCCCGTCGTCACTCGAATCGGATTCTGTTTCAGCTCTCGGGTTCGGTGCTCCTATCAATTGCTCCGCCCATTCCTTGCTGATATTCCAGGCTCGTGGAAGATGATGCCTTTTGTTGAAAATTTTCAGAACATCGCGGGTTTCATTAAAGGCAGACCAAAAGTTCTCCGGAGATTGATCTGCAATGGCTTTTTTGCCTGCTTCCTGCCAAGTCTGGCATAAGCCATTATAGCCGGTTGCAGGAATAGTACCAGCATCAATATCTGCGACATTGTGGTGCTCATTAGCGCCTCTGATAAGCTGATTGAGCCTATGAAAGAACGCTTCGCAGGCGGCATAATCTGGATTGTCGGTTGTAAAAAAGCTTTCGGCCATTTTTTCTGACTCCTTTGCTGTTTCATTTCTGATGATGTCCTTCACCCAAGAGCTCAAAGGGTCTGGCTGCTCTTCGCTTGGTCCATCCTGGTCGGAAGCATCGTACAATTCCAGATCTGTTGCGTCACCTGAATCATAGTCGCTTGCATTTGGTGCAAAGTCTCCTTCTCGAGTTGGGCTCCTCGTTATATCGACCTTCTTGCCTTTTCTATTGTGACTAGATTCTGCTGCGTATATTTATAAATTAGAAAAGTAAACTGAATATGAAAATAGGCACATACCTTTGTGCTCTGTCGTTCTTTGCTTTGATTCTGCCCTTTCAGAGTTCTCTCCGTCGGAAAAAGGTGTTTGAATGTCCCGTGCATTTCTTTTGGCCTTTGGGGCCTTTTTGCTTTTCTTTTTGGGCATGACTGATTCGATCCTTCAATCTGGAGATTTGAGAGGAATATGATATGACTTGTGGCATTAAAGAACTCTTATAACTGTTTATTCCGAATGATCAGGACATAGCCCTTTCCGTGTGGCCTTAGAATTTTTTGTAGCCTTAGAAAAGTGATACAGGA